AAAACTGAGCATCAGAATGGGAAAGAAAGGTGATTTAAATGACCTTGAATGTGGCATGGTTGTTGGTGCCAGACGGGCTGGAATGAATGAGTATTTCAGAAACTGCAGATCTACTAGGATTTTCACGCACAACCATCTCTAGGGTTTACAGAGAATGGTCCGAAAAAGAGAAAATATCCAGTGAGCGGTAGTTCTGTGGGCAAAAATGTCTGGTTGATGGCAGAGATCAGAAGAGAATGACTGGTTTGAGCTAATAGAAAGGCAACAGACGGCCGAGGTCTGCAGAAGAGCGTCTCTAAACTCAACAACTTATCGAACCTTGAAGCAGATGGGCTACAGCAGCAGAAGAACACACCGGGTGCCAATCCTGTCAGCTAAGAACAGGAAACTGAGGCTACAATTCACACGCGCTCACCAAAATTGGACCGTAGAAGATTGGAAAAACGTAGCCGGGTCTGATGAGTATTGACTTCTGCTGTGAAATTCAGATGGTAGGGTCAGAATTTGGTGTAAACAACATAAAAAGCAAAAATCAATCCTGCCGTATCAACGGTTCAGGCTGCTTGTGGTGTAATGGTGTGGAAGATATTTTCTTGGCACACATTTGGGACCCTTAGTACCAATTGAGCATCGTTTAAACGCCACAGCCTACCTGAGTATTGTTGCTGACCATGTCAATCCCTTTATGAACACAGTGTATCATCTTCTGATGGCTACCTATCACAAAGCTCAAATCATCTCAAACTATTTTTTTGAACATGACAATGAGTTCACTATAACGTGTTGTTACTCAAATGGCCACAACAGTCGCCAGATCTCAATCCAATAGAGCAATAGGCCTAGAGCTTTGGGATGTGGTGGAACAGGGAGATTCGCATTATGGATGTGCAGCCGACAAATCTGCAGCAACTGCGTGATGCTTTCATGTCATTATGGACCAAAATCTCTGAGGAATGTTTCTAGCACCCAGGGCTGGACTGGCCATCGGGCATACCGGGCATTTGCCCGGTGGGCCGACGTGCTTTGTGGGCCGATACATCTCATACTTAATTTTTATTTATTTTTTTAAAGTCTGAACGGCCCATAAAACTCGTACATCGGCGGCCCATTGCGTTTAGTTTTGTTTAATTGGCGGCTCTGGGATCTTTGTGCCGGTGTAATGCATTGGACAAAAAAATCAGCGTAGGTTTTTCTTTTTCTCACAGATCGGCGCATGATAAAACGCGTAGATCAGCGGCCCATTGGTTATTTTCTTGATTGACACTGGGCTGGTCCAATCACATCTTTAAACTCCTCCCCCTTTGAGCTCTGAGTGAGCGAGCAGTGTCAGTGTGTATCTGTCAAAATAGTCAGAGCGATGGAGAAGAAACGCAAGGAATGTGCAGTGAAATAGCGTGAAAAAAGAAACTTCAAAGGCTGATGAGGATAGTGAGGAGGATAAGGAGAGAGATGAGTGAGTGTAGAGAACTGTGGTAAGCAGAACTAGGCTACTGTCACAACACTTAGGCTATGTAGGAACCCACTACCCAGTTGCATTATTTACACATCTGCATATTTGACGATTACGCATTTTATTAGAATTGTAATGAGACAATAATGAGTCATGAGTTTGTAAACCATGTTTTTCTTCAAAATAAAAGCTCGATGCCGTTTCCGTCAAAATAAAAGATCATGTGCTTATCTCTGTATCAAAATTAGTTACGAAACTAATTATGAAAGTTGCTTTTATTTTTCAGTGCATTTGTTTTACAACATATGGCTATTACTGCCATGGGATTAATATTATAACTATTATTATGTAGTAGTGTAATGTAGACAGACACTATATCACAACTAAAAGAGTTTTGAGTTTTTCTTTGTTCAATTTGCACACTGAATATGGGTTGGAGCTTTTATTTTTAACTCTCAAAGTGCACCAGATTGATGAATTTATCATTAAAAAGCACAAAATTTTCTTACGCAGGAGCATGCCCCTGAACCCCCCTAGAGGGACAGAGGTGCACTCACCACAGATTTCCCAAAATCCTGTGGGAAAAACCGGTATTGCGATCCCAGCTTATAGCTTTCTTTAGGATTCATCACTGTGGAGTATAGTTCAACTTAGTAGTTATTTCATCGGTTAACTCTTACTCACTCATATTCACTTATGGCATTAGTGGTTTTAATAGGAGTTGGTATACATATTCAAGGGCGTGCAAAGTTCGTTTGTGTTATATAGTGGGCCAGTCTGGGCCAAAATGCCCGGGCCGATTTTTTGTCCCAGTCCAGCCCTGCCAGCACCTTGTTGAATCTATACAACCAAGAATCAAGGCAAGGCAAGAGGGGGTCCAACTCAATACTAGCAATAAAGTGGCCAGTGACAAATGAACAGGTTTTTACAGATTCTTCCATTTTTGTTTCTGTCAACAATTATCCACCTTTAATCAACCATCTGTCAATCAAAAAAGGAACATCAAAATGCACTAAACTCATTCCACACTAACGTTATATCAAAAATTTTGAGTAGGATGTGGTTCACTTTTAATAACTAGTTTTGTTATTTAACATAAAGCCTTTTAGGTGTCCTAGTAAAAGTACCGCAAGTCTAGTATGTTAATGTAAGTTTTGTGAGTAGTTTAAAAGCAGTTATAGTAGTTTAAGGTACTAGTTAGTGCTCCGTTTGGAGGCCGAGATTTAATGCATGATAGGGGTGACCTTAGGCTTTACAATCAAAGTGAAAAAAAAAGAAAAAAGTATTGAGATATATTAAAGTGCTCACCTTTGCGGAATTCGTCTCCCGTTTTACCAGCTTGGGATTTCGGGGAACCACTACTTTTGTTTTGAATCCCACTGGCATCTTCTCGCGTGAACTGCGGAGGTTTGACTGAGATGCTTGGACATTCGAGGCTGGCATTTTGAAACAAACGTAAGTTACTCGCGCTTTATGTAGAAAGTTGAAATAAGATGTTAATGGCAGAAATATCTGGTTTCTTTCTTGATTGTCGATAACAAGCGAAACATACGAGAAATGTTCAACCGAGAAGCAGATGGCTAACTGTTAAACGCCATTCGCACGCTAGGTCGAGTTGTGTTTATCATTTAAAAAACGTCCAGGACGTTTAAAATTTTATATTTGTAAAATAACAACATAACGTCATTACAAACTAAGTGTTTACATAATAAAAAGTAATAAAGAAATTAATTTAAAATCCCAGCTAATTTCTTGTGAAGGCTCTTCCGCCAGCGTACACTTCTCAACTTTGAGCTTGGTGGTTACCATGGCGGCGGTGGCCATGGCACCGGGGTGCTGAACGTTCTCAGTAAACAGTTCTCTGATTGGTCCGCGTGCGTAAAGAAGCCCTGGGATTCGCTGTGAGTTTTGGGCCCAAGCAGTAGCTGAGGATATCTGTACCATAGCAACTTCAAAACCACAAACAAACAAAAGCTGCGTCCCAATGTGCATACTATCCATCCTAAATAGTATGTGACATTAGTAATTGTCAATACTATTTAGGGCAGATAGGGTGGATAGTATGCACATTGGGACGCAGCTAAAGTGTACCTTTCCCCTTGTGCTCGTATTTTGATTCAAATCTGAAAGAACTGCAAAGTGTAGACTGTATGAGATAGCATACTGGAATGTCATGGAACAATGGCATAGAAAATATGCTTGAACAACATTTTATTTTACACTTTACATTCATATTGAGGTGCTCAGCAGTAGATACACCACATCAATAATGAAAACTGCCTAAAATCATGGAATATTTTTTCTGACTGTTCAGGGTAACATTAGGCAAACAGACTGTCCCCATGTAATTTCTACTAAATTAAAGTCACCATGAAATCAAAATGGACAATGTTGTTTTTAATGGAATATTGTAGAAACTTGCAACAACTCTTCTCTGATGATGTGTTTACGGGTGTGAGGGCGGGACAACCTGTCACTCACATGGCATCACAGAAATAGACCTTATCAATTGTCTCTGACCTATTCAGAGCAGCGTTATGACAGGTATGAAAGCGAGGCTGTGAGGGATAGACTTATCGTGTGCATCCACTGTAAAAACTGTAAAAAGCTCCAAGATCACTCATAATTTCCCACAGTTGTCTGGGGTTTTTTGTCTACTGAAATTTCTCTGAAAGTATTTTGCAGTGTTTCGTCAGCAGAGCATTAAATAACAGTACAACCCACTGAAGAGATGTAATCCACAGGCTCGTTTTAATTCCCGTTAAAAATAAAAGATGCTGTGAATAAGGTCTATAGCAAACCACAAGCATCCAATAAATTCCCAATAATCAAAATCAAAAAAAAAAAAATCTTGTTCGAGAAGCCATTTCACTCGAATATCAGTCACAGTAGACTGCAACAGTTTTTCAGCGGCGCTGTTTTTTTTCTTCTTTTTTTTCTTTTTTTTTTCTTTTTTTCATAGGGATTTTAAAAAAAAAAGTCTTAGTTAAAGAGTTAAGCCATGAACCAGCTACGAGGTGAATCAACATATGCATATTATATGTATATATACAAACATTGCAGAATTTTGAGAGTGTAGGGAGATAGACTTGATTAGCCTACGTCATGTGATTCATGTGGGCTATTCAGAGCCGAAAAGCCCAAATTGGTCGATAGCTAATTTGACCGATCAATGTCCCCTCAATGTCTACAGCCTAGAAACCAATACACTTATCTGAAGAACGCATAATAAAACATCAAGAGCTTCTTCTAATCTCCAAAGAACCATAACCAAATCAAAACCATTACATTTGTTTAACCTAAGTGGCTTCAAAGAACCAGTGATGAACTGGGAATGTTCAATGGGATGGAATGTTCAATGAATGTTAAAGGTTCTTACATCATTGCCAATAAGAACCTTTATTTGTATGTGCAGATGCGGCTGTGGCAAAGTCTTGCTGGTATTTTTTATTATTTTTTACATAATCTCTGCGCGTGACAAAATACACTTTAACCGTTACCCTGGACACTTGAGTTAAACTACAGAGAAGCACGTTATTTCCCCTGCTGTGATGCACCACTACACGGCTGTGCCGGTCCTGGCAGGATGACAGTTCTCAAGGCTCTTTCACTGCGGGTCAGTGAGCGGCCCATTCTGACAGAAAATTGGATTAGTACAACGAGCCCTGTTTAAGAAACGAGTTTTAAGAGCGACTCCTCCTTCGTCACGCCAACCCTCGAGACCGTCGGGTGTTTGACCTCTCGCTCAGGTTGTTCTGTATTATTGCTCGCCTCGTCCCAACAATATCCCGCTCAGTAACCAGCCGCTGCGGACATGTCAACATCCAGCGAATGCAGGTAAGGGGCAAAACGAATGAACGCCAGACCTGCTGCCAAATGAATCTCCTACATCATATCAGAATGCTTAAATTAAATCTTAGTGAGAAGAAAAATATGTTATTACATTCGCGAGAAGACGCCATGACAACTGTCGCTTTAAATTTCTATTTAAACAAGGCTTCATATATCATAGATCAACCTGAAGTAAATGGCAGATCATTTTAAATAAATCTGTATGATTCACATTCAGGCAGTCTCTGTCCTGACTGTTTGGACGGCGATAGTTTATTTACCCTATCATATTTCTTCCATGCGCCTTCTAATTCCACTGTAAAAAATAAATAATTTGTTGTCGATCTGATGCTTGTATGAAATTCAACATTTCTAATAACATAAGCTAACTATAAAATCAGCTAGGCTACTTGTGATTCTGATTACGTAACCAGAATCCTCCTATTCAGCTTTAGTGGATGCGCTCAGAATAATACGCAGCTCTTAAAGAGACAGGCTGCGCTATTAAACCTGTGGAAAAAAACAGCAATGAAAACAGTCCAAAACGAGGACATGGCTTCTCAGTTGGCAGGCCTTTTCAAAAAAAAAAAGAAAAGGCAGAGCTGTGATCGTAAAATGAGAGGCCTATTGTGCATTCTCACTGAGCGTTGTCAAGCAGCCTGTGTTTGAAGCTCAGCTCTCTGAATGGAAAGTGCTGATCCCGCAACGCCCTGCAGCACCACGGACAGCGCATGCTTACAGCTCGGCCATTGAGCTCTTCCTAGTTCCTACTCAATATCATTCTTGTTACCTGGTGCCCTACAGCTATGAAAGGCTTTCTGATCGTAAATGTGGGCAGTCCAACTTATGCAAGCAATTTAGTAAGGATGGGCCTACTGTTTGTCTTTTTTTTTCTTTCCAGTTTTAAAAGACTATAAAATAATTCAGATTATAGTGAAAGTATAGTTAAATAATGACAGACACTTCCAGTAAGCATTCTGCGGTTGCTTCCTTTAGTAACTTGCATTGTCATATTGAGTAACTGCATAAAGACAGCAAGTGAATATTTAACCGCCTATACTGAAAAGCGTAAGTTATTTGGCCTAAGTATTCTTGTACATGAACAGATGCTCTTTATAATTTGCTACAAATAAAAATACCATGGCCTGCTTTGATAGTTAAGTATCCAGCTAAAAAAAAAAAACATGATGAGCATAGACCATAGAATATATTTTGATTTGCATAATAGTTACAACTGGATTTACTCTCAACTGACCGTCCATTAGCTTTGTATGGTAAGAAAGTAAGAAACATGACTATTTACTACAGTGATTGTACAGCTAAATGACTGTCAAAGAGAAGAGATAATTCAACATACTTCAACACAATATAGCATAACAAATGACAAGGATAAATAATATAATAAAATAAATAAAATATAAAAAACAAAACCTTATTTTACTGTAGTATATAGGTACTTTTCTTTATCTATTCTGAATGCTGCTGTCAGCTGATGTGTGCTCACACTTGACTGGGTCATTGCACTTCCTACACCTTCATATTTCATAACCAAGTTATGTTGCGTAGGAACGTAGTCAGACGTTTTCCAACAGTGTGGCACTTTATTGTGACACGTGTGATTTTAATGCATGCCAGCCCCACCAAAAAATATTAAGCAACAAAACAATGTTTGGTTTCTATCTAGCTACAGCTATGAGGAGTACAAAGAAACAGCAGACTGGCTGCTTGCTAACACAGACATCAGGCCCAAAGTGGCAATTATCTGTGGTTCAGGACTCGGTGGATTGGCTGACCTGCTGGACAACAAGAATTTGTTTCCTTACGACAAAATCCCGCGCTTTCCCCACAGCACAGGTAGGAGACAGATTGCTAAATTCACATTAACCTTTGGTGTATCATTCATAACCCATTCAGAGAGTATTGTTTCATATTCTATTAATTGACTACACAAAAAATGTAAAAATTTATAAAAGACAGTGCTGACGTTTATCGCTCACTGCCATTATTTGATTATTATTTGCATTAACAAACATTAAAAATACACACCCTCATGTCTCTTCAGTGCAAGGACATAAAGGTCAGCTTGTGTTCGGAGAGCTGAATGGGAAGCAGTGTGTTTGCATGCAAGGCCGTTTCCATTTCTACGAGGGCTATAACTTTGCCACGGTAAGTATCATTTTTAAAATCTTAAAAGTATGAGCATTAAACAAAACCAGCGCATGCACAATGCGCACAATGCGTCTGGATAGAAAATCAAGGGGGGGGGGGAATGAAAACATTGTTAGTTGATAATTAAAAGAATCCTCTCATAAGTCAAGAATCATCTCAGTTTTTCTTTTCCTTTAGCAATAATATACCACAATACTAACACAGAGGTTATTCTGTACTTAACCATTGACTTCTCAGTGCTGCTATCAGCAATTTAAGTATAACAGAGAATAGTTAACATTTGACAACTGACCCAATCGCCTCCTATAAACTTTTACAACACACAACAGTTCCAACAGATCTGTGATCAAGTTAAAAAAACTCAGAAAGACACAAACAGTGCTTACTCTTTATTGCAGAAGCCGAATGAAATACTGTATGGCATTATGATTTATGATTCTTCGGTATGTTTTTTTTTATGAGTGATTAACATAGTTGTACATATTCTTGCCTGGGGTTGTGAAAAAGCAGTCATATGTTTGTTTCTTATTTCTTAATTCAATGCACCAAGGGAATCAATTAAAATGTAGTTTCAAATCATAATTGTCTAGTGAAAATATTTCTTTTAAAATGGACAATTTAGACAAAGCTGGGGGAGGGGGAAATACAGTTAAACTACTATATCGTTTTGATAACTGCATATTAACCACATATATCAATTCAGATTGCAGTCTTTGATTTCCTGTTTCATAAAGATGAGCACATATGTCAAAGCAGCTCTAAATCTCAGGGTTTTCTCCTTCTGTTTTAGGTCACCTATCCAGTAAGAGTGTTTTTCCTTCTCGGGATTGAGACTCTGATTGTGACCAATGCTGCTGGAGGGCTCAATTCTGAATTTGAAGTGGGTGACATCATGCTTATCAAAGACCATATCAATATGCCTGGATTTGCTGGGCAAAATCCCCTGTGTGGACGCAATGAGGAAAGGTGAATTGCTATGTAGTATATTGAGATACGTTTTATTCAAATAGATTTGAGATGTTTAAAGACTGCTAATTCTACCTAACACCAATATCTTTTTTATTTGTGTCTTTGTTTTTAACAGTTCAGCTTTGGTTTTGCTATTGGCTTCGCAATGCAATCTTACTTGCATTTCTCTAAGGATTTATGCAACCAGTCTAATGATCACTGACATTTGTGTTACGTCCCTGTAGATTTGGAGTGCGCTTTCCCTGCATGTCTGATGCTTATGATAGAGGCTTGAAACAGTTGGCCAGGGACACTGCCCAAAAACTGGGCTGTGCCTCTTTCCTTCGGGAGGGTGTTTACTGCATGTTGGCTGGACCGTCCTATGAGACAATTGCAGAATGCAATGTTTTAAAGCAGCTTGGGGCGGATGCTGTGGGTACGTACGGTACATATCACTTTTATAAAAAATCTCATGAGTGGGCATGACTTAGGGCATGTATTATCGCTTGAGGATGAAAACCATAACCATATATCATCATTTCGAGCAAGGACCGCGTTAGAGGGACAGAGCAGGAACCTATTATTATATTGTTTTTCACAAAAATTACTTATTTACGGAGCCCCGAACATGACATGCGGACAAAAATATATAGGGGCCATGAATTAAGAATTCGTTCCTGTGATTTCTTAATTCGTTCTCTCTTATTATAAATTGTATATATTATATTAATGATATTATATAAATTCATAAATTATTATAAATGATAAATTACTTCAAAATGAATAATACTTATATATATTGTAGTTTTTACTTTATATTCTATATATAAAATATATATTATATAAAATATAAATATTATTTTTCTTCTGCTGCAAATTATTGTTTGACCTTAAAGTCATTTTTAAATGAAATAAACTAAATGAAAATAGAAAGTTACGGGTCACTAAGAATTTCTTTGAAAGAAATTGACATTTTTATTCAGCAAGGATGTGTTAAATTGGTCAAAAGTGACAGATATAAAAGATTTCTATTTAAAATACTGTTATTTGGAACTTCCTATTAATTCTCTTTTTATTCCAAATATGTATCACGGTTTCCACAAAAATATTAAGCAGCACAATTTTTTTCAACATTGATAATAATAATAATAAATGTAGCTTGAGCACCAACTCAGTGTATATTAGAATGATTTTTGAAGCATCATGTGACACTGAAGACTGGAGTGATGATGCTGAAAATTCACAGTAATAAATTCAAATTTAAAATAGGAAATAATTATTTTAAATTATAATAATATTTCTACTATTTTTACTGTATTTTCATCAAATAAATGCAGCCTTGGTGAGTGTTGTGTTTGTTTTTAATTAGGTATGAGTACCGTTCCAGAGGTGGTGATCGCTCGGCACTGTGGGATGCGTGTGTTTGGACTCTCCCTAATTACCAACAAGGTAGTGACTAACTACGACAGCAATGAAAGGGCTAATCATGAAGAGGTCCTGGAAACCACCCGTATGCGAACCCAAGTCCTGCAGAAGATAGTCAGCAATTTAGTGACAAAAATGTAGCATAACCAGCAACTACATTTACTGTAAAAAAACAGCCGTTCATTGTTTCTTCATGTTAGTTCACAGTGCATTAACTAATGTTAACAAATACAACCTTTGTTTTTAATAATGTATTAGTAAATGTTGAAATTAATATTAACTAAGATTAATAAATGCGGTAGAAGTTATGTTCATTCTTACTAAGGTAGTTAACTAATGAACCTTATTGTAAAGTGTTACCCGCCATGTATCTTATTCAGGATTCGAGTAACTTTATGAACTTTGCAGTGCCTCAAGACTCTCTAAATGGAAATTTAGGCTAGGTTCATTTTGTTTACTTTTGATACTGTCCTCACTTAACACAACATATCACATCGGTATTAATATGACACGTATACTGTACGATACATTCACATTCTTCCTGAAATGAAAGTTAAGAACAACTGAAATTAGCAGCATTACATAACTTTTAGCATTCCTGTCACTATGTCTTGAAAAAAGAGTTAAAGAACAAACATACATGAAAAGGGACAAACATAGACTTACACTCTAATACAGTGATGCAATCCTTTTCAACTGTATAAAGGGAATTTGGACTAAATGAGAAGGGTATACAGTACCATCAGTTAAAATATAAATTAATATATTAAATAAGCAGATGTTTTATCTTTTTAGTTTTTTTTTTTACTTTGTACTTGATTTTGACTCAAATTAACAATATAAAATGAATTATTATATAAATGCTGTGTGGTGGTGAATTTATTTTTAAAATTCTGTTCTGTCCTTCCATTTTCCAATTTTGAGTTCCTTTGCTTTTACTTACGTATATAAACATTTTGATAATCAGAGACCAAAACTAGTCTTTTGCCACACCATACTAAACACAAATACAGATTTTATCTTGGGGATGGTATGAATCATCAGTTTCCTGCAATGCATGTGTACAGAGAGTGAGATCAAAATTAGCTTGTATACATGCAAAACGCATACAGTATAATTGAAGGAATAGGAATCCCTCTTAACCCCCTCATGTCACTACATTATTGATAAATCTTGCCAGCCCAACTCTGAAGTAGCGATGAAATAAAACATTAACAACATCAAGCTTGCAGCAAGTCTGTCACCGAGCAAAAACCTTATAGCAAAATTGTACATAATGTAAAGTGAGATATTCACAAGAGAGTAAGACAATTTACAGTGTGGCCAGAGGATTCGCTATAGCTCTGTCATATCCATAATGTTTTGAAATCATTCGCGACCACTTCATATTTTAGATTGCAGGTGTGATGGCATCAGCTTGTATGTGAACCTCTGCACGCATCAGATTTTTGGAGGAAACACTCTTTTCATCTGTCAGACGATGCCGACAGAACGCCAGATCAGTGTGTTATTCAGATGCTATTGCAGACTTTCACAAAATATTTATGGAAAGCCAGTTGTGCTGACTCTGCCCAGAAACATCACAGTCCCTGTGAGCCATTAGTGAAGGGGTAACTCTTATGCAATTAGTGACGGGCCATTTGCTGAAATATTCAGGGCTTGATGCCCATGATGTGCAGCAGTGACGGTACTTCCACTCACTGGAGGAAAAGAGGAAGTCAGAAAATTTAATGATCTGTTTTGATCTTGCGTGTTTTTTTTTTTGTTCTGCTCTCCCTGACATATTATCTCATTTGAAATTCCTGTTTTTCTCTAAAGATATCTTCCTCTGAAATGCAGCTTTGAGCTCAGCATTCTTCATTTCGGCGTCTTCACAAAATTTCAGATAGCACTACACTGGAAAACATTGTCATAATTTGAACCAAAAAAAAAGCTTATTACCTTAATCTACGCTTTAAAAAGTTTTGGGGTCAGTAAGACTTCATTAATACTTTATTAATTTATTAATAAAGAAATGAATACTTTAATTTAAGAGGGACACTCAACTTGTAGTTGCATGGACTGTCAATGGAGGGACAAAAGTCTCTCAGATTTCATTTAAAATATCTTCACTTGTGTTTCGAAGATGAACGAAAGTCTTACGGGTTAGGAACGACATGAGGGTGAGAATATTTTCATTTTTGGGTAAATTAACTCTTTAATGATTATCATGTATCTTATTCAGGGTTCGAGTAACTTTATGGGCTTTGCAGTGCCTCAAGACTCTTCGACTCGAAATTTAGTTGACTTTTGATATTGTCCACACCGCATCGAATACTGTAGTACTAACACAATACTTGTATTTAAGGAGGAGACATTCAGTTGATCAATAGTGGTAGTTGCGTGGACTGTCAATGTGTCACGTTGTGGCTATAATGATGCAAAAACAGTCTTTATTTAACCCATTTGTGCCCACATTTTTCTAAATGGCTTCATAGTCGTGTTAATAGTGTCCTATGTGAACATGTTCTGCATTTATTCTCCCCAGGTTTTAGTTTTTTTTTCTTGAAAATCGTATTTGAATGTGCGGCAATTGTTGCCAGTGGGCTTAAATTGAATCCACAAACTAAAACTAAGGCGGTCGCAGGAGAATAATGAACACAACAACGTTTAACTAAGACGAAACCGGCCACAGAATAGGGAAAATCAGGGCTTAATTTCATGGGGAAACAATGATCCTTACAAACAAATCTCATATCTTGGACATAACAGACCTTGAAACCAGAAGCCTGATATTTTACTCTCTGCCATGCAAACATCCCTCCAACGCTACATTCGCTCCCAAAATTTTTCTTTTTCATTTCACTTTAATCAGCCTGCTGCGATCCTGTGCTTGATGGAGAGCTACACTTTACAGTATATCTCGCCATCTCTCTCAAATCATGTTTGCAGCAAGCGACGCAGGAAGAGTGAGAGAACACTCAGGGGACACGTCGCCATTAACCATCTATACACATCCTTGGAACAGTGAAATTCACTGAGGAAGAGGGACCATATTGAAAAGAGAGATCTCATTTATCCTTTAACAGGCCAACAGTTCAGCGAGAGACACAGCAGGGAAGTCATTCTGAACACTGTTCAAAGGTCAGCCTTTTTCACATCCACATTCATGACATCTCTCTTGGTAAAATGATAATCCTCTGTCTCATTAATATACAGCGGGGTTCGAAATTGTGAAAGCACATTCCATTTCTGGGATTTAAAATCACATTTAATTCTGAAAATAAATAGAAATCGAAAACATTTTAGTAAAAAGAAAAAGAAAGAAAAGACAAGATTGTGTGATGGTCAGATGTTCTTGCTTCCATTGAAGTTGATTATCACCTTTTTTTACACATGCATACTTGTGGAATTCATTTTACTTTTCTATTTAATACAAGGCATGGCATACAAAAGTCAGCATGAAATCAAAATGGACAAATCTTATTTTTGTGGAATATTGCAGTACTTATTATAAATGATTTATCTGTGCACATCTTTTTTTTTATTTTTTTTATTCATGTGCCCTCATAATCTTCAATCAAAATGACTTCCCCTCCCTCTTGAAGCGACATCTCTTTTTTCCTCTGAGGATGTATTTACTGGTGTGAGGGCGGGACAAGCTGTCACTCACATGACATCACTGCAATAGCAAACCAAAACCATCCAATCATTTCCCGAAAAACAAAATCAAGTCCCTCCCTACATTTTTTCTTGTTCGAAAAGCCGTTTCACTTGGATATACGTCACAATGGAAAGAAAATACTGCCATTTCATGCCAACTTTAATGTATTAAATTAAATTAAAATTGATTAAAAATCCAAAATAGAAGCCTTTTCCCTAGTGGTCTCAGACTTTTGGACCTTACTGTATACGAAGGAAGTTGATCAATCACACTGTAAAGGTGCATCTGGGGATATACAGGGGAAATAGACTTCGACATCTCTGCTGAATAAAGACTTTTCACACTCCTAAACTCAGCCGTCAGCAGCCAGATCACTGGAGTACAGCCAAGAACTGTGTGACAAGGCAAGCAGATGGTATTGACTGACTATTCCTCAATGATCATATTAGTTCACTGTCACTTTCAGAGCATATTGATTGACATTTTTGCCTTGTAGATCATATTAGATACCCAGCCCTTCCATAACCTCTATGAAAGGTTGTCTCATACTATGACTATGAGTCTCTAAGACTATGAAGGATTACATAAAAAAATATTGTGTACTCAAATTGTGTTACAATGAATTTGTTATTCACAATGTGTTGCTGTCATACTAGCCAACGTATTCAAATATGCATTCAAATTTCAGTTTCATTTCTCAGTAAAAGAACAAAGTATTTTAATCTAAAAAATATTAAATTCACCCCTTTTTTAATGCAGTTGTTAGACCCTTGAGCTTGGAGCTTGTCACACCCCCAGATACACCCATACAGCAAACAATATATTTTCAGATATCTTTTTAAATATACAATACCATTCAAAAGTTTGGGGTCAATAAGATTTTTCATGTAAAAAAAAATGTAAAAAAAAGTCTCTTATATATTGGATCAAAAATACAGTAAAAACAGTAACATTGTAAAATATTATTACAATTTAAAATAACTGTTTTTAATTTTAATATATATTAAAATGATATTTATTCCTGTGATGGCAAAGCTGAATTTTCAGCAGCCATAAGAGACCTCTTTCAAAAACATAAAAAATCTTACCGACCCCAAACTTTTGACCGGTATTTTTAAATGTACAAAACATGGTCAAAGTATATTGATAAAGATGCATATTACTTATATTATGCCTATTCATTCAGTTATATGTGTTATGTGCACATATAATAGTTATCATCGACATCAATGGACTACCAAGAAGACATATACAGATATTTATTATAAGTTTCAGATGCATATTTGAAATGTCTGCATCGTAGTAAAGACAGCCTTTACAAAAAGTTCTGTTACAAACATTCAGCAGGAATGTTGATGTTGCTGGATCAGGCTTCTTTAAAAGAAGCTTGCGATTTACGTGCTTCCTCTTGTCAATGACAAATGGAAACTGTTTATTCCTCAGGATCAGACTGAAACACTCTGCCTCATGGCAGGACCGTCTAGACGGAGCAAAGGTATAGATTGATAGCATCTTCAATCACTGCAAACCC